CCGCCGCCGCTGCCCCGGGGCCTGTGCCCGGCCCCGACGGCGGCGACGAGTGGGCCCGCGAGCTGCGGCTCTTCGGCCACGTCCTGGAGCGTGCCGCCTGCCTGCGGCGATGCAAGCGGACGCTGCCAGCCTTCCAGGTGCCCTACCCGCCGCGCCAGCTGCTGCGCGACTTCCAGAACCGCCTGCCCTACCAGTACCTGCACTACGCGCAGTTCAAGGTGGGCGCCCTCCCTCGCGTCCTCCACCCGCCCCGGGGCCCCGCTCGGCCTCTTCGCTCCCAGCCGGCGTCGGGTTTCAGTCGGGTCCAGGGGAGCGCTGTTGTCATCGAGCCTCAAGCCCGCTTGTGCGCTCAGGGCCGCGAGTCAGTCTGGCCCTACTGACCCGCTCTGTCCCCACCCTATAGGCTAACCGGCTGGAGAAGGCGTTGGCTGCGGCCTACACCTTCCTCCAGAAGAACCCGAAGCACGAGCTAACGGCCAAGTATCTCAACTACTACCGGGGGATGCTGGACGCGGCCGAGGAGCCTCTCACGGACTTGGAGGCGCAGCCCTACGAGGTGGGTTGCAGGGGGAGGGCTGACCCTGACGCTCCTCTCTGACGCCCCCATAGGGCTTGAAGAGGAGGGGAGTGGAGGGGAGTATGTCGAGGGTCCCCTCCAGGCGGTGTTCCTCCCCTCCAGGCGGTGTTCCTCCGGGCAGTGAAGCTCTACAACAGCGGGGATTTCCGTAGCAGCACGGAAGACATGGAGCGGGCCTTGGCCGAGTACCTGGCCATCTTTGCCCGGTGTCTGGCTGGCTGCGAGGGGGCCCATGAACAGGTGGACTTCAAAGACTTCTACCCCTCCATAGCAGGTACCCCACCCAAACCCATGGGACATCCCTCCCAACTGCCACCTCTCCCTGCTCCCCAGAACTCTTTCAGGCCCCTTAACACATTTATAGAGCACCTACTAAGTGGTTGAGGAGCGTGCAGTCCGCTAAGAGAGACAAACAGGGAAATAGATCCCCTGCCACTGAGAGTGTCCAGGGTGCTGGGTATCAGTGGAGAGGTGGTGACATCCCAAAAGGGTCTCGGGAGGTTTGAATTCACAGGCTTTCCAGGCAGAGGTCAATGCAGTTGCAAAGGTGCCCAGCTGAGGTGGGAAACAGCCCTACAGGTGTGCGCCCAAAGCAGTGTGTGGCCAGAAATCACATCTAGTCTGGGGCAGGCGGGGAGAGTCTGTAACTCCAGGGGTTCCTTAGTGGGGGGCAGAAAGGGCTGTCCTGAGCTTTTCTATCTGGGCATCAGTTCCACCTCCAAACTTCACCTGCCGCTCTCCCAGAGAGCCCTGGCTCCCTCTGGCTTTGGGGTGGGGAATGAGCTGTGGGTGATAAATCAGCCTCATCCACAGTGGTCTTCCTCAGCATTACTTACCCTACCCGCATTATCTCCTGCGATCGCAAGAGGCTCTGCAGGCAGAGTTGGGACTGGAAGTCATTTTTTTTTTGTCACCACCAGTTCCTCACCCACCCATCTGGGGGTGCTTCCCACCCCACAGATCTCTTTGCAGAATCCCTGCAGTGCAAGGTGGACTGTGAGGCCAACTTGACCCCCAACGTGGGAGGCTACTTTGTGGAGAAGTTCGTGGCCACCATGTATCACTACCTGCAGTTTGCCTACTACAAGTGTGAGCTTCCTGGTGGGCTTGGTGGTGTGGGGGGGGGGGCACAGAGAGCACTGCACTGGGAGCATCACAGTCTTGGGAAGTATCCCGCAGAATTGAAGCCCCTGGGTGATGGGAGGGAAAGCCAAAGGTGGTAGAGTAGGTGAGAGGCTTGTGGGAGGGAACAGAGAGCAGCCTCAGGGGAGGATTCAAGGGCCTCTTGGGTAAATGACTAGATTGCCAACAAGTGCACAGCATTTGACAGTTTACAAAGCCCTGCCACATCTATTTATCGCATTTGATCCTCTCACCAGCTGACATTACTGGACCTATTTTTTAGATGAGGAAACTGAGGCTCAGAGGGCAAGGGGCTATTAGTCACTTGGCTAATAAAAAGTAGTACCAGGAATGAAGTCTTTCTTCACTTGAAGGAGATCCTAGTGTCAGCTGGGGCTGGAATGGACAATTTCCAGGGTTCTTGCAATGCAGAGATGCCAAGATTCAGACAGGCTGAAGTTAGAGTGGAGGGCTGAGGACCAAAGGGCCAGGAGACCCTTTCTGGGTCCCGTTGGCAAAGAGGCTGAGGTCTGGGCCACCAGCCTCTCATCCCCCCGTGCCAGTGTTCTCCAGCTATGTGAGCTTGAACAGCTTACCTAATGTCTCTGTGCCTCGAATTTCTTGTCTGTAAAATGGGGATAGCAATAACAGTGAGCCTTAAATGAGTTACACAGGGCCTGGCACACAGTAAGTGCCCAATATATCCTAGCTTTCATCATTAGTGGGTGGGTTGAAATACCTAACAGGTATTTTGGGAAGTGCCTGGGGAGATAGAGGCACTGGACTGAATGGGGAGATAGAGGTGAGTGAGGTGGGAGTCATCCCTGAAGGTGGGAAAGTGCCAGGGCTGTTCCTCACTCCTGTCTGTCTGCAGTGAATGATGTACGCCAGGCCGCCCGAAGTGCTGCCAGCTACATGCTCTTCGACCCTGAGGACAGTGTCATGCAGCAGAACCTGGTGTATTACCGCTTCCACCGGGCTCGCTGGGGCTTGGAGGAGGAAGACTTCCAGCCCCGGGAGGTGGGCATTGCCTTCTGAGGCATTCTCAAGACCATGTGGTTTGATAAAAAATCTTGGCTTCCTCGGAAGGGAGGATGGGAAGGGAAAAGAAAGCATGTGGGTTGTGGTTAGAATCTTGGGTTCAAACCCAGCCCCACCTGCTGTGTAGTCCTGGGAACACTGCTGACTCTGAATCTGTTGCCTCATCTGCAAAATGGGGGTGGTACTACCAACCTTGCCAGCACAGTGCCTGGGATGTGGGAGGTTCAAAAATACCTGTCCATGCCTGCCTGCTGCCCTCCACACCCTTATCATCTTCACTACTGGCCTTTGTCCTTCTCCCCAGGGATCCCCAACCTGAACCAACTGAGAAACCCCTCGGTAGTCTAGGGCAAGACTGACAAATATGGGGCACATGGTAGCCCAATTCCCTTGTCAGTGGCAGACATTGCTAACCAACTGAGGCATTCTTTCTCTCTGAGCCCTCGGAATCCTTCTTAACCTAGCACTGCAAGCAGCTAGATTTTTCCATCAGCATGTGAGATGATACCTGCTCTAGGCTCCTTGAACTGGAAATGGTTCAGAGGACCCAGATCCTAGGAGCTCTGGCTTCTCCACCATCTGTCAGCAGGGTCCAGCTCACCTCACTTTCCTTCTTTCCTCCCAGGAGGCCTTGCTCTACCACAATCAGACAGCTGAGCTGCGGGAGCTGCTGGAGTTCACGCACATGTACCTGCAGTCAGATGATGAGGTAAGTGGCCCTTGCCCTCCAAGGCTGGGTGGTGATGGAGACCCCTTGGTCCTCTTCCTAGGGCCACTGTGCCAAAATTCAGCCCAGCTTCTCGCAGTCAGCTCTTGTGAAGCAGGAGAGATTCGCCTGTCCCTTATC